ATTCTAAACACCAGCGGATCAACAGTATGACTTTTTTCAGAGTGACATGTGAAATTTTTACAAACCTCCAGTTTGCCGCTGCTCCTCCCGGCAGCTATCAGATTCCCTCTGAGCTCCATGGCCCAGACAGAGCTTTCCCAGTCTCCTGCCGCTTGCGCCCCACCCATCGGGGATCTTTCTTGGATTACAGGTGTAGCTGCTTCCCCTAAGCTCGGACTCCTCTGGAGTTGAGCGCCTGATGGGGGCGAGGAGGAGGCTGAGGACGGAGAGGCGTAGGTAGATGGTGATGGGGGCTCGTGCTCCATGTAGGCACGCTCCACCAGTCCTCCAAAATCAAAGCCTGCTCTGGGTGCAGTGGACAGGTGGGAAGGGGGCTGGGAGGTGAAGTTGGTGTCAATGAGCGGGGTGAGATCGGGCTGGTCAATGAAAAGAGTGGGACGACTGGGCGTGGTGCGGCGTCTTACTGGGTAGAGCTCGTCCTCTGTCAGCCCGTCTCCATTAAACGAGATGTCTCGTTCAGGACTCAAACACTCTGATTCTTGAGCCCCGGTCATGCTGTCCCAGCCATTCCGGTGGTCCCAGCAGCCACTGCTGCTGCTCCGCCTCAGCCTGAGAAGGAGACAAAAAAACAAAACAAAAAAACATTAGCATGACTTGAAGAGAAACTGACTTTATGTTTGCAGATTTACTGGCAAACATTACCGCACAAAAGGTCTGATAGGCAAAAATAAATTGATAATCTAAAAACCACCCATGGATACCAGATTGTCCCTGCTCACTGCATATTCCACATCATGACTACTACTTTAAGTTGTTTCCTTTAGTGGTCAGCACAGATGATCACCAGCCTCCATCTCACCCTATCCCAGCATCCTCTGTCACAGCAACCCTCTGAGTGTCCTTTCTCACTACATCCATGAACCTCTGTAGACTTCCTCTTCTGCCTGACATCTCCAACATATTCACTTTAATACAATCAATTTTCAGCCTCAAATTTCCTAAACTGACAGATTGTTTTTAAACTAAATTTTACTTAATGGAAAAGTAAAAAAAATAAAAATAATTCCTAACAATGTAAAAGCAAATCTGGAAACATCTCAGACATCAATATGGCATTGAAATGTTTTTAAAACAAGATATTAAGAGTGTCTCACCCATGATTTGGAATGACAGTCAAGCAGTCCCCAGTCTGTGCGTCCCAAACCCGGATCTGTCCAGCCAGGCAGCAGCTAGCTAACAGCATCCCATCGCTAGCCAAACACTCGATATCCTACAGGACGGAAACATGGAGCAGGAAGCCGGTTTAAATAAGACTAAAGTGATCAGCCAAAAAAGAAATTAATACACATTTATTAAATTCAGCATTTTTGTTTTTTTATAAATGTACAGGGTGGGCCATTTATATAGATACACTGTAATAAAATGGGAATGGTTGGTGATATTAAAGTTTGTGGCACATTAGTATATGTGAGGGGGCAAACTCCTACTTTTGTTTTTTCCATAGGAAGAGGGCCATGTGACACATCGAACTGATGAAGAATAAAGTTACGTTGAAACCAAGCACACCATTGTTTTTCTTGTGACATTACCAATAAGT